TCAGTCTGTCATACTGTGGAAGCAGTGATGCAGGAAGAAGCTATGTCACCCGTATTTAAATACCAGCAGGATCACCCATGGGGACAGGTTTCAGTTTCCAGACTAAGACAAAGAAGTAGAGGTGGGCAACTTCGGAATGTTTAGCCACTGAAAACCTTATGAACAGCGGGGAACAGTGCCAGCATCAGAATACTGAATACTGAAACATTATCAACAGCACCAGAATATTGTCAGACAAGCACTGGAAGATGATTAACCCCTCAGGTTGGAAGGTACTCAAAATACAACTGCAGAAGAATTGCCTCCCCAGAGTAGAGCTGACCGTGATAACTCAAATGGAGTAAAGCTTTCAGTACCTCCACTTAGTACAACTCAAAATGAGAAGAAGCAGTTGTAACCATTCATTAATAATCAGAACATGGAATGTATGAAATATGAATCTAGGTAAATTAGAAGTTGTCAGAAATGAACTGGAACCCATAAAGATCGCTATCCTAAGCTGGTGCCATAGTGGGGAATGTTTGGCCATGCCCAGGTAACCACATTTCCAGCCATGACATTTTGTTGTTTTTAATACCGTCGAGTTGGGCAACTCATAGCGACCATGTAACAGGGTTTTCCGATGAGCTGCTGATGAGTTTGAACTGCCAACCTTGCAGTTCAAACCCACCTAGAGGTCCAGTGCTTATCCTATAGCGCCATACGTCCAGCCATCTCAATGTTGTTGTTAAGTGCCATTAAGTTGGTTCTGACTCATAGCGACCCTGTACAGGGTTTGCAAGGAGCAGTTGGTGGGTATGAACTGCTGATCTTTTGGTTCGCAGTCCAGTGCCACACGTTGTTGTTGTGGAGTGCCATCGCGTCGGTTCCAACCCATAGCAACCCTGTATAGGGTTTCCGAAGAGCAGCTGGTTAGCGTGATCCCCTCCCCAACCTTGCAGTTCAAACGGCTTTGCAGTCTGGCGCATTAACCCACAGCACAACACCAGGGGTGAGTTAATAAAATGTTTGTACAAATCTAGCAGGCTAAGTTAAAAAAAAAAAAAAACAATTTTTAAAGAATGCTCATAGCAGATTTATTCATAATAGGAAAATATGGTAAGCCATGGGAAAGTCTGTGAAGTGAGGATTAGTTTAGCAAGATGGTATTTTCACATAAAAGAAGGGCAAAGAGAAATCAAAAAGAATCAATAATTGTGACAGTCAACAGGTCAAACATGCTTCATAAACACTGTTGTATCAAACAGTCCATGTACGAGTCAATTATAGTTGAAAAATGTATGATTCAATTATAGTTAGTCCTAGAATAAGCAATGCTGCTAATTGTAAAGTTACAGGTTCAAGTCCACCCAGAAGTGACTTGCAAGTTCTGAAATCCATTTCCTCTCCCAAAGCATCTTACTATGTATGACAACCCTCCCAGATTTTGATTTTCATGATCAATGCAATGACAGTAGTTTTTCCAAATTCCACATCAGGGCAAGGCCTCTGTTCTTTAAACTGAAAGCAGGGCAGGCTCTTGGAAATTGGGTCCATACCAGAAAAATCTGGTTCTGTTCCAAGTTTTTTCCTCTCTAGAACCAAGTTGCAGGCTTCCTGCCTAAGAGATCCAACTTTTGCTCCTTCCTGCATCAGGATCAACTGGGTGGCACGGGTTTGGTTTTGGTTAGGTGATGCCAGCCACAGGGAAGTAAATCTCTGCAGGTACTTCCTGTCCACCTCCTTTAGGACTGAACTGTTCAGGAGCAGTGGTTGTATACACAAGATGTCCATTCCATTCCGTGGCCACCTTCTCTTTTAACCTAGACAAGGGCATCTCTGCTCTCCACCCTGCTCACTGTGGGATCACCGGGTCCAGGAGCCCCAGCCTCTGGGGTCTGAGGATCCAGGAACAGGGGCAGGGGTACCAGTTGGTTGGGAACAGGAGCAAGCTAAGTTTTAAACTGATAATTTTGTACGGCCTGCAAATGATGTTATAAATTTTGGCAGAAAAAGGGTTCCTCACCCCAGTCCTAGGTATTAGTGAGCTAAATTGGACTGGTATTGGTCACTTTGAATCTGACAATCATATGGTTTACTATGCCGGGTATGACAAACTCAAAAGGAATGACATCACATTCATCATCAAGAAGAAGATTTCAACGTCTAGCTTGAAG